GCACAGGAGGACCCTCCAGGGCCGCTCCGGGCAGAGGCCTGTCCTGGGCACGAGCCTCACCCAGGAGCCCTGTCCCCAGGGGATGGCAGTGCCCCCTGCAGGGAAGGACCGCGCGCGCTAGCCTTGAGGTGCTGCCCTGCTGTTGACAGGGGCCTCACCCCCATGCCAGCCTCGCCCATCCTCGGCCACCATGGCCAGGGGCCCTCTCCCGGCCCACGCCCTGGACAGCGCCCTTCCTTCGAGTGGGACTGGCCCTGGGGCTGGCTTCTAACCAGCATAGGGAAGAGGCTTTCCTGGAACTGGGGCACAAGAGTCTGAGGCTTCCATCTTGCTGTTTCCCTCTTGGCTGGCATGTGCATGAAGCCAGCTGCCCTGTTGGAGAGGCCCCATGGCCAGCAGCCCGTGGGATCAGGCTTCCAGTCCGAGCGGGAAGAACTGAGCCCGCCCGCCCTCCTGCCTTCCCGCCCTCCCACCTGAGAGCCTCCGGGTGGAGGATGGTACTGACTACAGGCTTTGGGAGCGGGAAGTGGAGGACCCGGAGAAGCGGGACCCAGATTCCTGGTCACAGCACCGTGAGCCCCTGAGTGAGTGTCACATGGGCTGCCCACCAGCACGGCCGTGAGCTGGTTGGCTGGGGCTGCTCTAACAGAAACCCATCCTCAGGCCTGGAGCCTGGCAGCCCGAGGCAAGGCGTGGACAGTGGTCTCCCGGGGCCTCTCCTGGGTGTGAAGATGGCTGTCTCCTCCTGTGTCCTCACAGGGTCTCCCTGTGTCTGAACCCCACCCCCTCTTCTTACAAGGACACCAGGCGGACCGCTGAGGACCCGCCCACGGGGCCTCGTTTTTCCTCTTCAAAGTCCCCATCTCCAAATACAGTCACATTCTCAAGTGCCAGAGCTGAGGCCTCAGCGTGAATTTTGAGGGACACACTTCCGACCTCCTTCAGTGATAGGACCCGTTTTCCTCTGGGCACCTTTCCACTTGGTTAAAACATGACACTGCCCATCCGTTGCTGTTCGAGGCTGCAGCCATGTGACGGGACGAGTTCTGGCACAGAGATGGAAGCAGCATGGACACGTGTTCCAGAGGCCCCTGCTGCCTGGAACGGATGTATTGTTGGCACCTGAGCAGTTGCTTTGGGTCATGACGACACCACATCCTGGGACAGCAGCCTGGAAGCGGCCAGGGCCCAGACAACTGGGTGATGCCCTGCCAGCCCGGCCTGCCCATCTCATGAGAATCTGGGAGAGAATTCTATTTTGTTTAAGCCACTGTTGCTTTGGATTATTCTGTTTCTATGCTCCTGAACCAAATCTGAATCAGTCCAGAGAGGTCATAGGTCACGGAGACCTAATATTGCCACAGCAGATCGTGACTGCTCCAGCCACGGCGGAGAGTTATCTGCCTAGAACGAACTGTAATCCGGACAAGAACTCTTATAAGGAAGCCTTACAGCAGTGGTTCTCAACCTTGGCTGCACATTAGAATCACCTGGGAATCTTTAAAATCCTGATTTCTGGGCCTCATCCTCCGGAAGTTCTGTTTCTTTGTTACTAATGTTGTGGCCTCACCCCATAACAAAGAAACAGAATTTCCGGAGGATGAGGCCCAGAAATCAGGATTTTAAAGATTCCCAGGTGATTCTAATGTGCAGCCAAGGTTGAGAACCACTGTACTAGAGTTTAACAAAACAGCAAAGATTAACGAACACAGCTGCGTGGGCCATTTGGCACGTCTCCAAAGCCTTAACAACGGCACAGTCCCTGGACAGCAGACACTTCCAGTGCCTGACCCTAGGAAAATAATGGTGTGTGTGTGAGGACGGGCACTACCTACAGCAGCACCTCGGACAAAACGAGGAGACAACATAAATGCTGGGCAGGAGATGGGCTAATGAGTCATGATAGATCCATAGGACAGAAAACCACAGTCGTTTTTATTTATTTATTTTAAACATATTTTATTGATTTTTTACGGAGAGGAAGGGAGATAGTTAGAAACATCAATCAGCTGCCTCCTGCACACCCCCCACCGGGAATGTGCCCACAACCAAGGTACATGCCCTTGACCGGAATCGAACCTGGGACCCTTCAGTCCGCAGGCCGACGCTCTATCCACTGAGCCAAACCAGTCAGGGAACACAGTCATTTTTAGAGGAGCACAAATGACATGGGCAAAGGTCTCCGGTGCATTCGCAAATTGCACTCTGCAGCATGATCCTGCCTCTCTTTTTAAACAAAGGGAAACACACACACACGCCCTGGCCAGTGTGGCTCCGTCGGTTGAGCATCATCCCATGCACCAGAAGGTTGCCAGTTCGATTTCCAGTCAGGGCACATGCCTGGGTTGTGGACTCGATCCCCAATAGGGGGCATGCAGGAGGCAGCCGATCAATGTTTCTCTTTCACATCGATGTTTCTCTCTATCCCTCTCCCTTCTTCTCTAAAACTCAATAAAAACATATTTCTAAGTAAAAAAGAAAAGCAACAGACACATACATAGAAAAGAGACCTGGTCACCAGGTTAGTGGGCAGGGCAATTAGGTGATTTGTATCTTAATCTGTGTGCTTTTCTGCAGTTTTCAGCAAGGAATGTGTACTATTCAGGGGAAAAAACATAAAAGAATGGGTTTTGGTGGAGAACTAAAAACAAAAGCCTAGCAACAATTTGTGACGGGTCCTGCCCAGGAGGAAAGGCAGGTACCTAGATATATAAAGCAGCCTGGCATCACAGCCCCCCCCCCCACACACACACACATCATCTGCCCTGAATGCAAGACCAGATGGGAATCTGTGGGAGCCAGGCCTGGGCCGGAGAAAGAAGGAAACATGAAGCCAAGCCGGGAGGGACAAATGACTGAACCAGCACATTTTAGTTCTACAAACACACACCCACACTGCAAAGGGCATGGAGACAGTCACTGCTGTTGTGAGCAGTCAGCATCTATTTCCAGGGACTCCCATACGTGCCATTTCTATTCCTCTTCATTCCTTCCTGCCCCTGTCATCTTCCATCTGGGGTCATGTCCTTCTGCATAGAAAATGCCCTTTAGAATTCCTTACAGTGGATCTTCTATTGCTGAAATCTCTCCATTTCCATTTATCTGAAAATGTCAGCATTTTGCCATCATTCTTAATGAACTTTTGGTTGGGTATGGAATTCAAGGTTGGCGGACACTTCCTGTCAGCAAATTAAAGATCTGAACATGACTGTCTTCCATGTCTCATTCTTGTTCCTAAGAAGTCAGTCGTTGCTCCTTTGAGTGTAATGGTTTGGTTTGGTTTTTCCTCTCCGGCTGCTTATGGTTTTCTGTGTCTTTCCTCTGTAGTTCCACGTCAGGGTGTGTGAGGAGAGACGGGCCAGCTTGTCTGGAAGTTCTAGAATGCAGGTTCTCCTGGGGAGACAACGGGATGAGGCTTTTATTTCCAGGTGGTTACCTTGGTTGTTATACTTAGAAGCTATAAATGTTCTCTTCACCAGCAAATCCATTCCCCACGCCTGAGGCCTGCCGTGGCAGCATGACAGGCCCAGTAATTCCTATTCCCTTCCAGTTCCCCTGTAAGTACAGAGAGCGGGCAGCTTACACCCCCTAGTCGGGGAGAGAGATAACAGACTAAATTAGTGCCAGCCAAACCCAAGAGCGATGGAGTCCGGGAATAACAAAGAACAAAAACAAACAAACAAAAAACCCTATTAGAGCCAGAAAAATCCAAGATAGAGGTGAAGCTGACCAGAGAATATCCCAAACCCCACTGGACACTCACTTGGATGCATCAGCACATTGAAAGACACACCTGAAAGGCTGATGAATAGTCTGATTGAGACGCCCCTAACATTCCCACCTACAGAAAACAGATAAAGTCCCTCAAAGGACCCAAGTGCATTCGTGTTTTCTCCCTTTACTTTTATCGATCTGTTGGTTTTTTAAGAACTTATTTGTGTCAGTTTCTGTTCAGTAGCCATTAACTTTTGTCCTTTAATTTCTTCCTCTGTTTTTCTCGATGTTTTTTCTATCCTTTGAGTTAGAGGTTCAATTCTTTTATGGCCAGGTGCTTACTTTGGTTGGTATGATTAGAAGCTATAAATGTTCTCTGAGCACTATTCTAGTTGTGTCCCATACACCCAGACTTACAGGAATGCTGGTCATTTTCTAGAAGTTCTATAATTTTGGATTCTCTCTCTTCTTAGACCCAGGAGAATTTTAGCAGAGGCTATCAAATTCCAGGTGCCAGAGCTTCTGTGCTTTCTGAGTCTGTTATTCAGTCACAGGTTTACCACATTTGGAATCAGATACTCTTGACTATATCTCTTTTCAAATTTTTTATTAGGATTTCCTTTATGATATAATATATGGTCACTTTTCATGCATGTTCTATGGGCATTTGAAGATACATTCTCCATTATCAATGAAGAATGTGTTATCTACATGTCTTATCAATATATAGTATATGTATCTATCTATACATATGTATCCACACACTCACATTCACAAGATGCACCTCACCATGCTCTAGGTCTGCTCTATCTGGGACCGAGAGGTGGCTTAAGCTGCTCCGCTCTGCTTTAGGAAAGCTACGGCTGTTACTTGTGAACAGTTATTTCTGACCAATTTATCTTGTTTGAGAACTGCTCCTTCAGCATTGCTACGTGCCCTTCTGCTTGGCTCACTACTTTTGGGCTGGATTCTACCTTGTCTGAGACTCAGACGTGACGGCTGCAGCACTGACGCTAGCATTTCCCTGGGATGCATTTGCAATGGTTACACCTGAACTTTTCTCACTCGCTTTTGGATTTGTCTCAGAGACAGCCCAGTTGGGTTTTGCCTTGTGACCCAATCTGCAATCTTCTCCTTTAATTGGTGAGTCAAGACCATTTACATAAAACTGACCAGTTTTATTAAGGAACAGTTTTGCATGGTTTACTTTCCACTGCCTGACCTGGCATGCTTCTAACGCCATCAGAATCACCCGGGTCGTGGCTAGCCAGTGTGCCCACGCGAGGATGCTCCGCACGCAGCACCCAGTTCAGCCATGTGGCCACTGCGGTGATGGGCGCCAGGCTTGGCCGCATGGCCTCGTGCTCTGTTCCAGGCCCGACCAGTGCTGGCCAGGATGACCAGCTTCGCTTCGCCTTGTCGCCTCACCTTCAGAGTCTGCTTGTACCCCAGCACGGACTCCCACTTTCCATGAGAGGTTGGAGCCTACAGTGCATCAGCTCCAACCCATCTTCTTTTCCGTCTTCTCTGCAGCCACCGTCTTCCTGCCTCAGGTGTGGGACAGCCCCCAACCAAGAGCAGCTGCTAAGATGGCCGGGGAGCAAGAAAGTGATAAATTATTTGATGTCATGACTACGTATGCACACCTCCCCCACTGTGACTGATTTCTTCCCGGGATGCATTTGGACAGTGTCTGTCCCCGAGGGGAGACCTGTACCAGGAGTGGGAGCTGGAGCCGTGCGTGCTAGAGCAGCTGCACCCAGGACGCCTGGCGGGATGGGGTGTTCTGGAGCTCTGTCGCTGCCCCTGCCCTTAACATCTTTCAAGGTGATGTGTAACGACAGAGAAGACCTGAGTCACATTCTGAATGCCATCACACTGCATGACGCCCCTCCCGCCAACGAAACAGAAGACTGTGTGCCCCAGCCCCCCTCCTGAAAGTGCCCTAGGCCCCCCCCACCCCTGCACAGCTCGCTGCTCCACAGGCCAGGCCCATCCCTCACGCAGTAAGAGCACAGCCAAGTCTGAGGGGTCTGTGCAGAGCTCCGAGTGGGAACCGTCCTCCCTAATCCCAGGGGATGAGCTCCTTCTCTCTTCAATCAGCCCGAGCCCTGGCCTCGCCTGGGCCCCGTCTTTCACCTTCGGCTCAGTTACCTGACCCCCATTCTTGGAGGCACTGCGGTCACAATCACAGGCCGCTGTCACAGAAACCCTTTAACACAACCCAGGGTTGGTGAGTCGCCCCCGACGGCCAAGCCCTGACCTCAGGGTCCTGGCAGCAGCCTCTGTCACAGGAGGGGCGGAGCCTCTGGCAAGCAGCACAGACCCGCACACACAGGGAGAGGCGCACCTCAGGAAGGCAGACCCTCGTGACATCGTGGAAGCAGACGGGCGACTCTCACGCCGCCGTGCCCTGGACCAGGAAGGCCCGCCCGGCCGCTCCCTGCGAGCACTGGAGGAGAGGACACTCCAGGCTGATGCCCAGGCCCCCTCTCCTCCGTCTCCATGGGCACACGAAGCTTGAGCCCTGCCACAAGGGGCTTTGGGACGTCACAGCCATCCTTGAGGGACCTCTTCTTCAAGCCAGCTTTAGTGAAAAGACAATTCAGCTATTAATGTGGAAAAACCTGCAGACTCACGGGCACGTTTTAAGATGTGTCAGACCTGTTTATTGCAATTCACAGAGAGGACGAGCACTGAGCCGGCTCCTGGGCATGGGGTTGGCTCTGCGCAAGCAGCACAGTCCCGCGGGCAGCTCCTCCTCGCGGCTCCAGGGTTAACTCATGCAGCCCTGCAACACACGGCCCGGTCAGTCCCTTTCTGATGCGAGCTGGCTTAACTTCCCCCGAGGAAAGGGACAGTGGGCAAACCTTGGGGCGCGAACTGGAAGGCCGGCAAAACGCTCACACGTCTCTTTATTTCGTGACGTGCAGTGTTCTTGGTGCACACAGCCCGCTGGGTGGCTCTCCGCGCTCCCTGTCGCACCAGCGCTCCCATCACCCACCCCTGCGCGCTCTGGGGAACCAGCAGGCGTGGCTTCAGCCTGCACAGCACCCCCTCAGCTGCGGATTCCCCTGGGGCGTAGTGAGGTTTTCACAGGGCCGGCCGCAGTCAGGCTCTAGGAGAGCGCCCGGAGGAGCTGGGCCTCACAGTTCTCAGAGGGAGCGCGGTCATGGTCAACGCACTCCGAGACTTGCTCCCCCTACAACGTGTTTTCATCGAGTGTTAGTGGACAGCTCTGAGTGAAGCCCGCGAGAGTGGACAGGGGACAAGCAGGACCACCCACTAGTCCGAGGAGAGAACTTCACTTGGAAAAAATGCTCACTTCATGCTGCGACAGAAAACCTCTGCAAACCACTCCCATGTTCAAGAGAAGCAGCTGCCCCGTGAAAGCGGGCGAATGGGAACCAGTAACGTAGAGATGGGAGTGAGAGGCGCCGTTTGAGGTTTGCTCTGTGAGACACTCATGGCCGAGCCCAGCGGACAGTGCTGCCACGGGCAGAGGGCGCCTGCGTCCGGCCGTCCTCCCTTTGGGTCAGAGCAGAGTCCACACGCACAGCAGAGAGCGTGAGGGCTTCCTGGCTGGGTTCAAATAGCACCACAGCGGACTCCTCACCTATGCGCAATGCCTGACATAGGAGGCACCGGAAACGAAAGGCTAGTTTTAACTCGGTGAAGTATTTTCTTAACACATCACATTACAAAGCCCCAAACCACAGGGACAAGGCCGGGCCCTCACCCATCTGCTGAGGAGTCTGTGGAAGAAGCCTTTCTTTCGCTTGGGGGCCGGCTTTGGTTGGCAGGTTTTGTCTTCCTGACGCAAGTCCCGAGTTTCCTCATTTTCACTTTCGTTGATGTCCTTGAAACATTCCGACTCGATCATCTGCATCCGCAGGAGGGCAGGACAGAGCAGCGGGCAGGCCCCAGGTCAGCCAGCCCCCAGGGCCCCTCTCCAGCCCCGCCCTCCATTTCTGCTGGCCCTGCCTCCTGACCTCTTCTTGGGTCCCTTGGCCTCCCTCCCCCCTGGTGCCAGCCAGCCAGCCCTGCTTAGGAAGTGGGACTTAGGGCCGGAAGCCCCCATCGGACCCAAATGGCCACCTTCTGCCCGCCACCTGTGAAGGGACCAGGGACAGCTGCCGTGGATAATTCTATCTCTCAACACCCTCACACAGGTGTGTGTATGTAACAGCTAAGAAGATACTGTCACACACACGTACACACACGTCCTTGTCATTTTCATCCGTCACCCTCACTTGGGGAGCGGCGCGTGCTGACAAGCAGTACCTCATTCTGCCAGGGGATGGAGACAGAGCCCGTGACAAACTGGCTGTAGAAGGTGGTGTCGGTGGCGTCCAGGAAGATGCCTCTCACCACGGAGAACTGCTCGATGTCCATGATGTCCTTACAATACACCGCATGCGGCTGCGCACGGAGAACAAGGAGGCGCCGCCGTGAGGTCACTGGGCCGCTGGGTGTCCTTAGCCACTACGGACACCGCACATGGGGTCGAGGCCTGCACACTTCCTCGGGCCTGGTTCTGCCGAGCCTCTCATTTGAAGCATTCTGACCCCTTCCCTGGACACTGTGTCATTAACCTGTGGACACTGCCCGGCCAGGTCCCTTGCCCACACACCTGAGACCCCGCGCCTCCCTTTTCTGCAGTGGACAACGGGTTACAGGCAGGCCAGGGTGAGAGGGTGGTCGGGAGCTCTCGTGGGGACATGGCCCTGATCCTCACACCCGCCTCACACTCAGCTTGCTTCACAGCGAGCACCCGCCTAGTCTACGTGAGTAACGGCAGGCCCCGGTCCCGGCTCCCCGCGCCCGTCAGAGCTCATCTCAGGTCCCCAGCCGAGGCAGGCTGGTCTGCAGACCCTCCTCAGGGCCAGGGGCCAGACTGCTGTCCTCAGGAGCCAGCCGTCAGGAGCAGGCAGGGCGTGCCAGTGCGGCCGCCTGCTTGGCTGGGAGTGAGGAAGAGAGCGCAGCAGCGGCCTGGCCCAGCTAAGGCAAGGGGCGCCCTGCAGCTCCGAGCACGCACACCACAGAGTGAGGACCAAGGGGTCCTGTTCCCGATGCCATGTAGGAACTTCTCTGAAAGCCGCTGCCACCACAAGGGGAGACAGTCCAGGGGGAGGCTGGTGGAACCGGGCCCCAGCCCCAGGCCCAGAACCTGTACTGATCCCCACTCAAGTGCAAGTGCCTGACACGTGACCATCAGACTCTGCTGTCACCTGGCCTCCGCAGGTCCTCTGGCTAAAGTCAAGGGAACTCCCAGAACCGCCCAGACCTCTGGCCTACGCGTCTTAGCACCGCACCCCTGTCATCTCTCCCTCCTCAGAGAAGACTGTTGGCCGGCCTTCCCTGCACAGGCCCCAGGCGGCCCCAGGCCTGGTGGAAAGAAGGCTCTAGGGCCCAGCGGACCATCGGAAGTCTCTGCCTGGGGTTCTGCTCCAGCTGTAACTGACTCACCGCTGATCCGCGCAGCCTGGAGCGAGCTCCCTCAGGGGAGCCGGCTGCTGTTCTCCCTGTGCCGACACTACAGCGTGTCATCAACATGCAATTGGAACCAGTTCCAGGGAAGAAGCCACTCGTGTAAGATATATGGATATAACTGAGTCCCGAACTCTGCGGCTAGACACCTCACGGCCATCACACCCTGCAGGACCGCCTCACACCTGGCCACAGACCGTTGTCCAATCTGTCTACGCCTGTGTTCCCATCGGCACTGACACGTGCCTGAGCCTGGGTCAGTGTCCCCCCCACACACACTGAGGCGACCACTCCAGGCCCTCAATGTGCAGCCAGGACCTCTGAGACACACGCTGGCCGGCACTGACATCAGAAGGGGACACTTCGGGGAGGTCTGAGGACAGCAGTGGCCGGGCTCAGCTCCGATGGCCCACGGTGGACACCAGGCCCCAAGCCCGAAGCCAGAGCGCTGCTGAGAAGGCCTGTGAGGACAGGCCTGGGACTATGGGGGTGGGGAGGGAGGAGGAACCAGATCCTAGGGGACCTGAGCGGAAGTCACACCCACTGGCTGCACCAGGTGACCTGGAGCTACTGGGGTGAGGCCTGCCTTTTCTGGGACCCCAGCTACTGGGCCACACGGTACTCACGTCAGGGCAGAACGGGGGCTCTACCATGTGTACTTCCAGCCTCTTGAAGTTAATGTTCTTGAACAGGGGGTGCTTTCGCACACCAGCTGCTCCGTCACCCTGGCAGCCCAGGCGCTGCTTGGGGTCCTTGGTGAGTAACTGGAAGAAGCAGAAATGGAGTCAAAAGCTCCGGGGTCAAAAGAAACGCAGAACAGCTCCACAACAGTCCCCAAGGAATGGGGCACAGAGCACCCGCTTCGAAACAGAAGCCTCAGATTTCAGTGTCCACCCAACTTCATTAATTCAGACTTGACTAATTAAACATGCGGTGCTTCAAACGGAGTTAAACTGAAGTTTTCCTTTGAGCTGTCGATAAATAAAGAGTTGGCTAATAAATCCCTAATAAAATAAATTTTTACCATGAAAAATGAGGGAAATCTTTAAAAGAAATAGAAACCGTTCAGCACTTCCAAGCAACTACTTACAGCTAAGTCACACCTACACTTAGAAACCACTCACACCTGATCTGTTCACTAAGGAGGTCGCTGGGTCTCAGCTAACACTTTAGCAAGCCTTGTTCTAGAAGTCACAGACGCTTACAACTAACGGAGTGTCTCCTCCAAGGTGTTCTTACTTACATATCTGTAACTGTCACAGCTCAGGAAGACCTTCCTCCACAGTTACAACCAACCAAAAAGGTTTGGCTGGGCTCCAAGCAACACAGGAAAGACCTGGAGCTTGAAAATACACCCGGGCGGGGCCGGGAGCGCAGCCCACCCCACCCCCGGCTGCACGGTTGCGAGAGCACAGCGGCCGGCCGGGGTCAGCGGCTCTGCTGCTCTTGCACTGGCAGCGGGATGATGAGTCCTGACAGACACCCGAGCCCTGAGGGCCTAAGCAACACTGGTCCTCTGGCCCCTCCAGAAAGGCCTGCGACCCCTGCCAGACTCACAGCCAGCACCTACCGCTTCTCTGAAAATAAACCCAGTTTCCGGGCAGAGGCCAGAGAGCATTCTGGCTCGAGCTTACCTGCTAGCTATTTATTTATTTACTTATTTACTTATTTATTTATTTTTTAACCTGCCTTTCACTATAGTCATTTTTCCGTGTTTCAGCCGCCGGGAGCCTGTGAGGCCTCGGGGCAGGATCCATTTCCAACGCACCTTCTCACATCCCTGCAGCCATCCGAGTGCAGCAAGCACTCAGGCAGTATTTGTGAGCTGCACGGAACAGCAGCTTGGCCAGCTCCTGACTAAACTGTCAGCTCCAAGCAAACGAGCTGGAAGAAAGGCCCTGAGCCCAGTGCACAGCCGCCGTCCACGGAAACAAACGGAGAAGGAAGCTGACATGGCTACTGCCGGCACCACCCACTCCCCTGAGTTACTGACACTTCAGTGACAGCGCCTGCTGGAGATTCCAACACCCCCAGGAACCTGCCCCCCTGCCCCCCCAACTCCCCCTGGGTCACACCCCGACTCTACATGACCAGCAAGCCCTCCTCTGCTGCCCCGCAAGCAGCCTCCCCGTGTGTGCCCGTCTTTCTAACCTAATTGGCCAGGAGGCACCGTGACTCTGCAGGCTCTCCTCTGCACACCGGGCCTCCTCAGCTCCCTCCCACCCCCGAGCGGCCGATGACCTCCGAGACCAGAGGCACAGAGCGTGCACGAGCTCCCAGTGCGCATCCACGGCCCGGCACCACATCTCTGGCGCCATCTCTCCCGCGCTCCGCCTCTCCTGCCCGCTCCACCGGGTGCAGCCAGGTCTGAGCTGCTCCCTCCGCCCCAGTCCCCGAACTTCTGCCAAGGCTGGCTGGCCCCTCCGTCCTCCTCGCAGCCTCTCCCCGGCACGTCCCTCCCCTGGAGCCCTGTGACGGCTTCCCCGTCAGTGGACACCTGTGCCTCCCGTGTGAGTGACAGTCCACACCCCTCCGGCCCATCCCCGCCTCCTGCAGCAGGATGAGCCCTGGGGACGGGTCCTTGTCTGCTTCCCTCACTCAGGATCCCCAGTGCCTAGGACAGTCCCACGGGAGATGCAACTGGGAAGGAGTGAAGAAATGGACGCAGAACATGTGAGCACTGGCTTCAGGGAGGACGGAGCGCCTTTCACCCCTCCGTGTGGGCCGGGCAGCAGGGACACTGAGTGAGCGGAAGGGGACCATCACGCCATTCCTCCCGGGCGGCATCCGGAAGGTTCCCTCCTGCCTGACTGGGGAGGAAGCCCCTGGCATTTGCCTCAGGAACACGAAGGCCTCCTGAGCCAGGGCCTTGCTCACTGAACACGGACGACAACGCGGGGCTGCCATGGCCGCGGGAGGGAGAAGCTCACGCCCGAGCCCGAGCCGACCCACCATCCTGCAGATGGACTCCGCGTCCTCCGAGAACCGCCGGGAGTACTCCTCCGTGTCCTCCTTCACGCGCCGCTCCACCTCCTCCCGCTTGACTTTCTCTTTGAATCTTCTGAATGGAGAATGTCCCTGAATCATCTCATAGAGCAGACAGCCAAGCCCCCACCAGTCAGGGCCATAGGTATAGGCTTCATTATTGATAACTTCAGGAGCTAGGTAACAAATACAGGAAATGCTAATTAAATTGTAAATTTTCTGGTAACTCATTCCAAATAACACACTATAAATATAACATTTGTCTCAACATGCATGAACCTAGAAACATGTTAAGCGAAAGAACCAGAGCAAAAGGCTGACTAGCGTGTGACTATTTCTATGAAGCAGGCAGACTCGCCCAGTGCCCGGGGACGGAAAGTAGCTGCGTGGCTGCAGGCTGGGCTGGGAGGGGACAGGAGCTGCTGTGGATGGGCACGGGGGTTCTTGTTCTGGAATGAGACCGTGGTGGTGGGTGCACAGCGCTGTGACGGCCGAAACCATGGGTGTACACGTCGGGTCGGCGGGCTTCATGTGCGTGAAGTATGTTTCAGTCCAGCTGTCACTGGAAACTGTACATCACAGAGCGGGCAACGAGTCCCCACAGAGGAACTACTGGGAAGGGTGCTCCCTCCAAACACAGCCACAGCCACGGGGGTCCCTTGGCCGAGGGGGGCTCCCTTGGGCCAGCACTGTGAGGGAGAGGCGCTGTGCCCGACCTCCGCCTCCCCACCCCCTGCCCGCCCCCACACCCAGCTCTAGTGCTGAGAATACAGCTCTTCTCAGTGTCTGAACAATCTCCAAAATGGAAATGTATATTTTTGCTAGGAGCCCCAGTTTCCTGTGTTTTTAATATAAATAGTGTACACAGACTGATGGAACTTTAAATAAATGGGAATTAAGTATTTAAGAGTTGACTTGGGCTGACTCAGTTCTCTGTGTGTTTTTCCTGGGGGCTGATCTGCTCCCAAATAAACGGAATTAAGTATTTAAGAGTTAAAAAAAAAAAGGGGGACCATCATGCCATTCCTCCCGGGCGGCATCCGGAAGGTTCCCTCCTGCCTGACTCGGGAGGAAGCCCCCGGCATTCGCCTCAGGAACACGAAGGCCCTCAGCGGCCTCCTGAGCCAGGGCCTTGCTCACTGGACTATCCCTCATCTCATCAGGTCCCCGTGGCAGGTGACAGCAGAGCAGCAGGCTGTGGGAGTCGCTGCAGGCTCTGCAGGGGCCCGCGGCGGTCCCTCGGCATGTGAGAGGCCGCCCTGGGGTCAGGCTGGTGCCCGGCTGGAGCTGTGAGGTCACTGCTCTGGAGCTGACCAAGGCAGGGCCCGCGCACCCAGACTTCGGAATGGCCAGGGGACACAGTTCCACCAGGCGTTTGCGAGGCCGCGTGCACCCGGCGTGGCAGCGGCAGAGTTCGATGGGCTGCCTGGTCCCGACCCTGCCTTCACGGAGCCCAAGACGTCTGTGGGCCTCAGTCCCACCTAGGAGAGGAGCGGACAGGAGGACTCCTCACACTCCCACGCCGCCGGCACAACTTCAAATGCCACCTGTGCCTCAGGTAGAATGTCTCTGTGTCCTGAGAACCCGGGCACCTAGACAGAAACGGCAAGGCTCGCTGAAGGGGTCCTCTACGTACCCATGTAGCCGACTGTTCCAACTCTTCCTCGAATTGTCTCCCCTTCTGGGACCTCCATGGCTAAACCAAGATCTGAAATCCGGATATGTCCTGCGTGTGTTCAAATACATGACACAAATCACAGGGGGGCGTGCTGACGCTTCAACTCCCTACAGCCTGGGGAGAGCCACCTACAACGCATGGCGGGAGTTGCAGCGGCCCATACTCTCAAAGACTGAGATCTAAGTGACAGTGACCTTTCCACATCTGCTGAAGTACCACCCAGAGCGTTCAGCTCCACTCACAGTAGGACATTAGGCTTCTGCCTGGCTCGGGGTCGGGAAGCCCTTTGACCATCGACACCAGCTGACAAGCTCTCCCAGGCACTGAATCGTTCCCGACCAGCCTACACAGCGCTCGGGACAGGAACAGGGACCTGGGACTGAGGCTGCACCGCATCACAAATCCCATCATGCCCTGGGCGCGAGCCCACCCAGGAAGCAGGAGGGTGCAGGGGTTAGAGCAGATTCTGGAGCCCCGAGGCCTGGGTTTGAGTCCCAGCTCTGCCACATATTAGCGCGTCTGGGTTTCCTCCTTCACAGAGGAGATTCCCTCAGCAATGCAGTTTTATATAGTTTATGTCTAAGTAGAGTACACGCATGTTGCAAAATTTCAAGTTCCCCTGTCTCATTTTACTTTTAAAAAGAGAAGTGAACAGTAAACCTACTGGAAAAACTGCAAGTTTGAGACATGGTCTGTGGGCGGTGTGTGGGGACACAGGCACACCCACCCTTGCTGGTGCAGATACAAACAGCACAACAGCCTTGCCCGTGGGGCTCAGTTGGCTGAGCATTGTCCCATGCAATAAGGGGTCCTGGGTTGATTCCCAGTCAGGGCATATGCCGGGTTGCGGGCTCCATCCCCAGCAGGGGGTGTGTAGGAAGCAGGTGGCTGATGCTTTTCTCTCTCTCTCTCTCTCTCTCTCTCTCTCTCTCACTCTCTCTCTCTCTCTCTTTCTCTCTCTCCTTCTCCCTGCCTCTGTTTAAAAACAAACAAACAAAACAACCAGCACAACCCCCGATGGAAGGATTTGGCAGAACTGCACATGACCTGGCCTTCAGCCTAGCACCCCACTCCTATGGCTCTACCCCAGGGCTGCACTAGAACCACAGGCAGTGCCATGTGCCCAGGCTGCACGCTGTGCACAGTGAGACAGCAGAGACTGGGGCAGCCAGGCCCTCCCGGTGACAAGGGGCCGGGAGATCTCCTGCGTGTGGGCGAGTGATCTCTGCTACATATTAAAAAAGCAAAGTGAGAAAACAGCGTAAGGATGTCAGTCATCAGGCCCTATTGTTCTCAGCATCAGAGAAAAATGCAAAGGGAAGAAGAAGGAAATGTCAATATGAACCCGTGATGAATGTTTTCTTTAAAAAAAAAGAGAAAAGGCACATTTCCTCTGCCAACTCCGAAGGCCTTGGAAGAACGACCCGCACAGCAACGGGACCGCGGCGCCCACGTGGGTCTCGCGAGGCCGCTCTCCACACAGAGGACGGGCCCTGGGGAGACGGTGGACTCAGGTCTCAGCACCCACACAGGGGACCCTGGAACAGGATCACAGAGAAAACAAAGGGCGATGTTCAAACCTACGGGGCACCTGCTGGCCAAGCGGGACAAGCTGACCAAAGCGAACAGTGACTCCGATGGACTGAAACCTGGCAAAGTGTTACCACCCGCCAGTTCCTAACGACAGCAAACAGAGAGCGCACACCTCCTGGTCGTCTTGGGAAAACAAGGGGGCCGAGCCAAGTGTTCCACCTGATTTTCCTGAGCAAAGAGGTAAACAAACGCTGACGAGGCCAGGTTCTTTCTCGTAGATGAATCCAACAAGTGCGTGCCCAGGAGTGGCAGAACCAGAAGGCCGTCGCCGGGTCCCAGGTATGATAGGGAGACACTGACCGTTAAGCCATCAGCGGAAAGCTGCTGACCAAGACCCAGCCCCAAGGGCCGCTCCTGACACGATCACAGGCTCCCCTGCCGTGGAAGAGCCCCCGTGGCCATGTGCACGGCTGCCCTGTGACACATGCCCCGTAAAGAGCGCGCCCATGGTTAGGAGGGCGTGGAGACCCACATCTCAGGAATGCAGCAAGATGTGGGTCAAGAGCAAGACAGGAGGGAGCAGAATGTCCTCACTGTGAGTTTACCTCGGCCTGCTGCTCCCTAAGCCCAGGGGTGACAAGGCCACCCATGCACCTGCAGAGGCGTCCCAGGCTCGCTCTGCTGTGTCTGCCTTATGTCTGAGGGGAGGGCACGCAGGGTTCTGCACTGACTCTCTGCCCCAAGTCCCTCTCAACGAAGTCTGTGCTCCAGAGGGAGGCTCACTCACCATGGTCGTCGAGGAGAATGTTCTCAGGCTTTAAGTCTCTGCAAAGGAAGAAGTGACAACAAAGAGCAGTTATTTGGAAGCTGACAACGGCAAGACGCCCCGTGAGAGTGAGCGCACGCCACCCGCCCGCGGGAAAGCACGAGGCAAGCAGTGACTAGGAAATCGAAGGAGCAGGCAAATACCCAGGAGGGACTTGCGGCCACCGGGCAGGGGTGAGAGCGAGGGAGACCCAGACCCTGGGATTTTAGGAGAAAGGGCGAGGCTGGCAGGGCCTCCCAGGGAGTGGGCCCAGGTGAGACCGCCCAGGAGAGACGAGAAGAAACTCCAGCAGCTACAGGACGGGGGGCTGCTTTCCCTCAGACTAAGACACTGAACTAATGCTATTAATTTAGTTTTCTTACTAAATTCTAAGATGTAAAAATAGCAAAGTAAATGTGATTTTAAGACACTGAATTGTTGTGCCATTTGCTGGAACTGAGTCCAAGTCCTCAGCAGCAGGTTCAATGTCTCAGGTGTCGGAAATAGGTTCTGTCGCTACATGAGTGGCACTGCCCACATCTGACCAGCTGAACAAATGAGAACTGCTCACTAGGGATCAGAGAGGACGGAGAGGAAGCCGGGGTCCGCCTCTGAGGGCCACAGGGTGAGCGACCAGCCCCCAGGGAGCGCCCGGGGCCCTCGGGCTCGGGAGGCACCGTCCGCACCTGTACGCGATCCGCTCCCTCTGCAGGTCCTCCAGGCCGCAGCACAGCTCTGCCGCGTAGAAAACCGCTCTCTGCTCGTTGAAGCCGGGGCTGCCCAGGTTGTAGATGTGGAACTTCAAGTCCCCTCCGTTCATGATGGTGAGCACCAAGCACAGGGCGTCTTTGGTTTCGTACGTGTAGCACAAGCTCACCTGGAGACGGCAGCATCGCAAACATAAGACACCTGCTCACCCCGGCCCTCCCCACGGGCTAACAGCATTCAGTAAGGCCTTCGGTGCACGGGCACCCACTCTGCTTCAGGGGCTGCGCCCGCGCAGGGGCTCCGGGACCTTTTCTTGCTGAGGACCCTGCGCCAGTTCTCAACTGAAGGGAGAGAATTCGCCACGCCCACGTGGGTGGGTGGGTGGCACCACTTCACAGAGACACTGGATCATCATCCCAGGCCACCCTCACCCTCAGCCCGCCCCCAGCAGTGCACGGAGGTCTCGCTGCTGCACATCCTTCCAACACTGCTGTCAGCCAGCACGGGTGGTGTTAACCTGCGTGGCTCTGACTGTGCACACACGGGTGCTACTTCTCATGCTTTTTCGTAGACTTAGGAAACCTATTTTGCCTGGTTTTCTATTGGTCTGTACGTCAATTCACACACACACACACACACACACACACACACACACACCTGCTAAGGCTATGACTGGACTGCACTTCATTTAATCTCTGCATCAATTTGGGGGGAACTGACATCTTCACAGCACTGGTCTTCCGACCCATGAGCCCCCCCTCATTAGCACTTGTCATTTTCTTTTCTTTTCTAAGTATTCTCTCAACACCATGTTGAAACTTTTTAAATTGATTTTTTAGCAAGAGAAAGAGAACACCGGTTTGCTGTTCCACTTGTTTATGCACTTGGCTGCTGCTTGCTGTACGTGCCCTGATTGGGGATCGAACTACACCCTGACGTACTGGGAAAATGTGCCAACCAAGCTGCCAGCCAGGGCTCCTGGAACTTCTCGTACTCGCATTTTATAGGTCTCAGTGGAGAAGTCTTGCACATTTTCAATTTTTGCCTAGCTCTCGATGTTCCTTGATGCAATCATAGATGGTGTCAATTTAAAATTTTTCATTTTCTAATTGTAGCTAGTGGCACATTTAATAAATTGACTAACTTCCCAATCAGTGACTCAGAAAGTCTCGAACTGTCTACCGCACAATCGCGCTGTGGCTGGGGGCGGGGAGGAGAAGACGGGCATGCCGTGGCCAGGCAGGACCCTCACCGCTGTACGCAGGGAGCACAGATTCCAGGGGAAGGAAGAATATTTCTAGGTTCCTTGGAAGCAGCCAAAAAGGCAGAAACAAAAACATTTCATTTAAATAGAATAAACCGCAACTACTTCTTATGTCCCTTTCATTACGTTAGAGTGTGGATTTTTGTTTCAAGGTAGTTACCCGAGTATGTGTAAAGCAGCTCCAAAATGAGCCCATTTTAAAAAATATATATTTTATTGATTTTTTTACAGAGAGGAAGGGAGAGGGATAGAGAGTTAGAAACATCTATGAGAGAGAAACATCGATCAGCTGCCTCCTGCACACTCCCCACTGGGGATGTGCCCGCAACCAAGGTACATGCCCTTGACCGGAATCGAACCTGGGACCCTTCAGTCCGCAGGCTGACGCTCTATCCACTGAGCCAAACCAGTCAGGGCCAAAATGAGCCCATTAAAGATTTTCAGGTGACATGCATCAGACTGTCATGGCAGACACATAAAGTCTTGCTATTAAATTTACACGATGGCCACCCACTGCTGGGAACGCTGCCCCAGCACAAAGCAGCTGACCTCACACTGAGAAATCAATGACTTGGAGGAAGTGACTCTAACACTACAAATCATTTTACAAACTACCTGTCACTCCCTTCCTTCAACCAGACCCTCATACTGCAGTAGATGCTGCAGGAAATACGCGATCAGGTGACAAGAAACCAGGTTGGAGATGAAACCACACCACTCACTGCTCAGCCCGGGCCTGGAGCGGGTCCTGAGCTCACCGACCCCAGAGAAGGTGACGGAGAGGCACCATACAAGGGGGTGCTCATTGAGGGCCACGCAGTAAAGGCAAGGGTAGCAGAGAAAGGGAGAGACGGGATGGCCTGAGGCCCAGAGAGGAGGCGCTTGAGCAGGTCTCCAGCCGGAAGCTG